ATTTGCCTTCCACGCGACATGTGTATCATTCCAGAACGACGGGTACAACAAATGACCTCTGACGAAGAAGACACGGATATGGAGCCTCCCCCAGGTTTCAGGCTACTACCTCCGGCGGACGAGGAACACGAGCGAGACTTGGACGAAGTTGAAGAAGACCGACGAGTCCGCAACGTCAACGCACTCATAGATGCGGTGTACCCGGGCGTTGATACGGAGAATTTACCCGATGAATACTTCGTTGAGCGAGCCATACTAGCCCCCACAAATGCAAGTGTTCGGCGTATCAACGACATGGTTGCGGAACGGCTGTCGGGTGAAACGAAGGAGTATCTCTCGGTGGACAGCCTCGAAGGGGTCGCGGATGCAAATATGTTTGAGCAGGAGTTCTTAAACTCTATTAACTTCTCCAGTATCCCTCCGCACAGGATTGCTCTGAAGGTTGGAACACCTATCGTCATGATTAGAAACCTGAATAGCGACGCAGGACTTTGCAATGGAACGCGGCTTCGAGTTGTGTCACTGCGCGAGAGAAGCATCGAGGCCAGCATTATGTCCGGGCCGTTCAAGGGTAAGAAGGTGTTCATTCCTCGGATCGTCTTTTATAGTGAGGACGATGACAAGGAGTTCCCGTTCAAACTCAAGCGTAAGCAGTTCCCCGTCGTTCCAGCCTTCGCCATGACTATCAACAAGGCCCAAGGACAATCGATCCACCACGTGGGTATATACTTGGAATCACCGGTCTTCGCACATGGGCAGCTTTATGTGGCGTTGTCGAGAGTGACTTCGAGGAAGGCGATCAAGATTGCTGTAGATCCAGAGGCCATCGATGAGGACGGGAACGTACACACCAACAATATTGTGTACAGGGAGATCTTTGGGACGCGGACTTGGTAGGGCACGTAATACATATGATACATTTAGCTTTGATTTCAGAATGTTCTTTCATCCGCCGCAGCGCAGCGGATGCGGACAGCCCACACTACACCAACCAACCATGCCCTAGCGTCCGCGGAGCGGGCGCCCAGAGCGCTAGTTTACCGCCCCCTAACCTTGTAACCTGTCGGTCTGTCTGTCCGTCCGTCACACTCCCTGTCTTCCTGTATTTTCCTACCTTTTCGTATGGCTACACTTGGCCTGTCTAATACAATTTCCGCCCATCTTACCGACCGCGCCTATCTTTCTGACTCGACCTATCTATGCCAAAATTACAAATATAGCCAAAACGCGGACACAATTAACTCGCGCCCTGGTTGGGCAATACCTGCCGACCTGCGACACTGACTGGATCTGTCGCACGATCAGACCGTCTCTCGGACTCGCGATTGGACGTAAGGTAAACATTTCTGCCGAGCACGAAATGCATCGATTGGTTGCAAGCAGCCAGGCGAGCTGCGCAGATGATTGATTATTGACATTTAGCTACGCAAAACCTGTCGTATGTACCGCAAATCGGGCACAGTAACCACTTTATTTTCTAAGAGCTCTGCGATGTTATTTTCCACACACATTTTTATAGTAGAGACGATATTATTATCATTATTGTTATATTTTTACTAAAGTAGGCTTCACCACATTTGCGTTAGCTGCATCCAGGCACCGCACTGCATGCGCACATGGTATCTACGTGGTAGTGTTTAAAGTCATTGTTATTGCTTTTAAGTATGTTCTGCTCGAAAAAATGAATATAGCATTGTTTAAGCGATTGCAAAATTTAAATATAAATATCTTTGTTTATTAATGAGTACCATCATTAAATGATCGTGTATTGGCTACTATTTTGACGTATTTTATGGTTAAAACAATAATACTATTTAGCATATCGTTTAATAAATTTCACTCTGCAGTTAGAATATCTAATATTTATACGCACGTTAGTAATTATAATAGTTTCTTCACAGTTTGCAACATGGTGAGGCCCACATGCAAGACCAATATTGACCCGCTTCTGCTTAGCCCGCAGCGGTCTTCGACGGATCCACGGGCGTGCTGCGTCCGCTGTGGGAAGCTGCAGTATGTTTCGCGTTCCGTACAATTAGCGGACGAGCTATCGTGGGCGCTGTATTGCCTGCGAGAACGGCCCAAAAGCGGTCGAGTTCTGGGAGGAAAAGCTCCCACCACCTGATTCGACCAAAGTGCGCCGCCAGGAAAGCCTGTCAAACGTCATGAAGGCGATGGGCCCTGACTGGTACCCCAAAAAGAAAAAGAAGCGCAGCTGCCCTCGCAAGCTGACTGCCCGAAACGCAGAGTACATCGAGCAAAAGAAGCAGCAGAAGAGCAAGTAATTGGTAAATATACCCTTTTAGGCCCCCATTTTCCTACCAATTTTTGTATTTTGTATACTGGCTGACGGTACGAGGCTTGGAGCCGCACATACGGTAGACTGACTATGGCGCTGCCAAAAGTGTTGACGCACCTACAGAGCGAAGCGTTTCATATAATAACTAGCGCGAGGTATGTACTGTGTGCTGCTGCAAACTGGCCGTTCCTGTTTGCATACGCGTCTGCGTAGAAGGCAAGTACACTCGCTCACATGGCACACGCAAACCGATGCTATCTGTATCACCCACGCTCACAACGTATATTCGACTTATGCGCGCTCGCATTAAAGCTACAATATCGAGTTAGCACTACGCGCGACGAATAAGTTGATGTCTACAAAGACACGAGCATGTGTGTGGTAGTGCAAGCCAAACAGGTGGGTGTGGCAGGTCGATGTGTCTGTACGCACTACTGTACTTTAGTGTCCAGTCCACAATGGTCGGGATAAGTGCTCGGTGAGTCGCGGATGACTATAAGGTATACTCGCCGCGCGCGTATATATCGCGTTGACTACGGCTAACAGACGCGCGGTCAGCTTGCCTGTATCGCTGTGGTATGACCTGCTCCCAGTTACTTACGCGCTTGGTCATATAGACTGATACATCATAAGCGTAAGCACAGTAAGCCAACACGACGACGCAAATGTACCGAGAAGCGACAGTGACCCTATGCATATGATTTGGCTATCCCGAGCGCGTGGCATATACACTCATTAACAACCTCGCGATATATGCACGGACACATCAAATACCACGTCGAGCTGATAAGTAGGCAGCGAAAGTACTTCATTTAATGAACATGAGCTACTATTCGACTCAAGTCGACGATAAATACGATCAGATAATCAGCTTACAGCCATGTGGCTTCGTATGTTCGTCATACATATCGGAACCAGTAAATACCACTCGGAAAGGATCTATGCCACTCTGTCATTCAGTAGCTGTGCAAATAAGTCAGCAAGTGCGTCAGCTATGCAAGTAAGATCAATGCATTCGGAGGATAGTGGATTACCCTTTAGTAATATCATAAACAGCTCAGCAGAACAGTTTTAAAGTATAATATTGGTGTTTATGGCGACCATCGGGAAATACTACCTATCCTAAAAGATACTTCGCGCGTAGGAGCCGACCCCATCTTGCTCTAATAGACCGTCACAATCAACGATATGGTGTCGCCTGCCTCACGGCGATGACGTGACAGATGGTATTATGTTTGAGTAGGCGTATTTACACCAGCAAAACTAGGATTCCTCACCGATCTATGCCCATTCCGTAGCATCATGGATACTGACCCGTCTTCTGAACAGCGTATATTACATTTGCAACCACGCGCGCCTCCGATTCGTGTCATTCTGGGAGCTATGCGCTCAAATGTGATTATAGACAAAGCCTTCCCGAGTAAGATGGTGCTCATCTTGCAGATCACGTTAAGCCCTGGTCATGTCTACGATAACATGTGAACACTAAGGATACTGTGGCGGTGTTGCTTTGGAACGTTATATAAGTAGAACACAGTATACCTGTACTATATGTGGCTTTGCTTTGAGTAGAAACTCTAAGTCCACTCAACCCATACTACACCAGCCACCCATGCCCAAGCATCCGCGGAGCGGGCGCCCATAGCGCTAGTTTACCGTCTCTTAACCTTGTAGCCTGTCTGTCTGTCTGTCTGTCAATAAGTCCGTCGGTTTCCTGTCTTGCTGCTTTTTCTTAACCGCATGGCTACACTCGGCCTGTCTAATACACTTACGTCCCTTCTTACCGACCGCGCCTATCTCTCTGACTCGACCTAGCTATGCCGAAATTTCAAATATATCCAAAAGCGTCACACAATTAACTCGCGCGCGCATTGGTCAATATTGACCGACCTGCGACACTGACTGAATTTGTCGCACGATCAGACCGGCTCTCGCTCTCGCGATTGGACGTGAGGTAAACATTTCTGCCACGAGCGAAACGCACTGATTGGTTGCAAACAACTAGGCGAGCTGTGTCGACGATTAAAAATTTACGTTTAGCCTTGCAAAATCTGTCGTACGTACTGCAAATCGGGCACACTATTTTGTAAGACCTCTGCAATGTTGTTTTCCACACACTTCTCAAAGTAGAGACGATAGTATTATTATTACTTTACTAGTAGTAGTTTTATTAAAGGAGGCTTTACGACCTTTGCGTCAGGTAACTCAGTTTACAAACTACCTTAAGTTGGTCACTTCGCTTCCTTTAGGTAAAAGGGACCTGTGAACTGCCGTCCACTGAGAGTTTGTATAATCTCTCGTAAGCAAGCTTCCTCTAGCGCAAGGTGCTGTGTGACCCCGTCAAATAGCCACAAGGGCGTCAGAGTACAGTGGGTGATCTCTCGGAATCTCCAATTGTTCTGAATAACGCAGGCATGAGCAGAGTAGGTTAGAGCAAGACATGTAGCATAATGTGGAGGGGAGGGTCAGTATCAGTACCAGTAGCTGTGCTGCTTCCAATGCCGCTTTCGTCCGGGGTGGGCTGGACTTGTTCTGGTGGTAGCTCGATTTTGAAAGTGGCCACTAAATTTTTTTAACCTTAACCTACTTTTATTTACCAATCACAAGCAGTTGCCTGTGAGCACCTTATACTATTATAGCGCACTTTTAATTTTTTGCAGCGATGAGTGCGAAACAAAGGGTGTGCATAACGCTGCTTCTCATGGCGGTATGCAGCGTACGGGGCATCGTGACGCCCGATGCTCCGTCCGACCCTGTGCTGATGGAGAACATGGCCCCTACCGGTGACGCGGCAACCTCAGATGCGAAGCCAACGCAGGACGAGCTTCCAACAGGCGACGCTAAGATCGCCGAGGCTTCTTCGATCCCGCAGCGCATTGAAGAGTCAGACGAACCCAAGGCAGACGCTGAGCTGGCGGACGAAGATGTGGACCCTTTGATGGACGTACCCAGTGGCCTATTTGAGGTGGTGGATGCTGATAGTGTGGACAACCGCAAGCGGCAGAACTACGCATCACTGGACGCCGGTGCTATAATCCTGGACGCTGCACCCGACACTAAGAGCCCCACTAACCTGTTGGTGCCGGACAAGGACCGGTACATGCTCACTCCGTGCTCCAACCCTCGGAAATGGGTCGTCATTAGCCTCTCGGAAGATGTGTGTCAGGGCCGTCGAGCAATGGAAAAGCAGCAACAGGTAGCTGACGCCGTGTACTTTTCGTTTTTGTGCTTCAGGTACATGCGGACGCCATAGCAATTGCCAACTATGAAAAGTTTTCGTCCCCCGTCAAAGAATTTATCGTGCTGGGAAGTGTCAATTACCCTACGGACACGTGGCTCGTTTTGGGCAACTTCACGGCTACACACACGAACGGCGAGCAGATTTTCCAGCTGGATGCGCAACAGCATGTGCGCTACATTAAGTTCCGCTTCCTGTCGCACTATGGATCTGAGTACTACTGTACATTGAGTCAACTGCGGTGCGTACTCCTCTTTTTGCACTCTTGCAAGTACCGTCAATCTTCTAGAGCTAAGAGATAAGCTGTCTTTATGCTGCTGCTGCAGAGTGTTTGGTCGGACGTTTACACAAGTGATTTCTCAGCTGGAAAAAAGCATCGATGCAGAAGTAGAAGTTCTGGATGTACAGGCATCGATCCCTGCTCCGCAGGTGATGGCTTTGTCTGGCAGCGTCGAGGTCTCGGTGGCTCGTACCCCAAACCCAACGGAACTTACGAGTCAGTGCTTAATGGAGAAGAACAACACGGTTGTGGCTATTTTTTACAATGAATCCCAGCGACTCGAGCACTATCGAAGCAATGGAATGTGCTGTCTAGTCGACTATACCCCGGAGCAGATTGAAGCAGAAATCGCTGCTACTTTTAGTACTTATGAGCATTCAGCTACATCGAGCACAGAGGCGGTTGATGCTGACACTAGCGAAGGCTCAGCGCAGTCTCCTGACTCGTTGCCCCCCAACGGCGCATCCAGCACGAGTACAAACACGTCGAGCGTCCCTGTCGCCAATGCCAACACAACTGCACCGAGCAGCTCCCCAGCAGCGTCGTCTCTGCTGTCGACCTCTCATGGCTTTCCTGCCTCATCAACACAAGGTCTTGGACGCCTGGAGAGCATTTTCGTGCGTATTACCAAGAAGAGTAAGTATGACGTGAATACGTAAAGCGTTTTCACGCTCAAATTCGTGTGGATCGGTGTTTCTTATTCTCTTGTGTGTTGTGATTCATGTGCCTAGTCCAAGCGCTAGAGGTAAACCAGAGCGTCATGGTGAGGCAGCTTGAGGAATTCCACACTCACCAGTGGGCAGCCATCAAGGTGCTACAGGTACGTGTATCCCAAGGCTGAAAAGTGGGTGGCGGGTGGTGGAGAAAACCTGTTGACATGGTGTCGATTATTGCTGGACTTTTGTCTAGGCGAATCAAGAATCGTTGAACGAGCAGCTGATAGAAATTCGCTCCATGATTGTGGACCTGGTAAGCCTCAACGACTCTTACACTATCACGTGTTGACGAGCGCGTACTCAACTTTTATTTTTTTTGCAGAAAGAGCACGTCGCGAACAAATTATGGATTTCTGAGAAAACTATGCTGACCTATGGCCAGCTGCTTGATGACGTCCGACGAGATAACATTGCGCTTTGGGTAAAGTGTCGTACGACTTGGCCCCGTTTCAATATCCAAGTGTGCTTACAAGAATGATATTTATTTCATGTACATGTAGAACGAAATGCTCATCGTTCGCGAAGTGATCACGACCATGAAAGCAGGCATTCTTTGCGCCATCGTCCTATCGGGCTTCATCATTCTATTTTACCTGTTTCGCCTCCTGTTTCGCTGTGTGTCGAAGTGCAAGGAGCGTGCTGATCTTCGGGAATGGTTCTGGCGCATGGAAAACCACGAGAGCAGCTCAGAGGATCCAGGGAAAAAGACAACAGACGCCAACATGACTGCAGGAGCTCTTCGTGTGAATCGGAAAGCTCAGTTTGGCTCATCTTGGGACGACTCAGCTATCGAGCGCAAGACTCTAGTCAGCGACATGGTCGGGGATGGCCCACAAAAGTTCCGTCGTCATCGTGCAAAGAGAGCAAGTCAGCCGTCTGTGTCAGTAAAACGCTCTAGAAAGTAAATCCCCCTCAATAACCTTAAAAGCGATGAAACGACAAGCCGTTGCGTTTGTTTACCTTCGCGGCCGCTCTAAATAATGATCCGCCGAGGGTCGAGCTCGTCGCTTTCCAGCAGCAGCAGCGATGTCAACTTCGATGATGTGGATGATCACCAAGTCTTCGGCTACCTCGAAGACGACGATGACTCAAGGCTGGCCAGTCCTGGCAATCGACCCAGAAGGTGCGTGAGTAGAGGCAACACGGCCAGACAAAACGGTAACCGGTCAACTGTTTGCCCCGACAGCCCAAGTGCAGATTTCCGCTTAAATTTCTCTCCGAGGATCAACGCTTCGATAGCCCCCCCTCGTCAGGTCCCAACAAACAAATCCGTAATGAATTGACATCACTCATCGCTATGGAAGTAGTTCTCACTACTCTGTATTATAGACCACTCGCAAAAGTAATGCTACTGCGAAGCCCCGTTCCCCTCCCTTAACTGCGAAGTACGTCTTGGACATTGAGACAGGTGCTTATTGCATATCATTGATCACACCTTGTCTACTTGCTGTAGAAAAAGTATCGTGAAGGGTCAGTCGTCGTTGACTCCAGTATCAAAGATCTCTTCTCATAAACGAGAAAACTCATCGGCAAACGTGTTGCATGCCTCAATAGACTCCGATCGGTGCTCCTTTTTCGAGCTAGCACCTGCAAGGGTGGCGGCAGTGCCAGTGACTTTTGATGAAGGGGATGACGGCGTCGATCCCCACCGAACAAATGAAAGCAAAGCTGCGCAAGACCCGAAACCCCGAAAGTCAAAAGCAGCTGAAAGTGGCACAGGAACACAGCCTCTACGAAATACGGATGCTCTTGTAGCCGCCTTAGTGTCCTTGCAGACTCAGGTGGAGCTGCTGGCCACTGAGAAATCTCAATTGGAAGGCGAAGTGATCACAGCACGAACGGCAATCGAAAACTTGGAGCAAAAAGTGGTCGCTTCGGAGCTGTCGAGCGACCTGTTTGCACGCCAGCTTGCTAATGTAAAAGAGAGTTTCCAGGCGAAGCTGATGGCTCGTGAAGAAGAGGTAGCTCTTGAAAAAATGACGCTCGGGAAGGAGAAAGAGACGCAACTGCAGCATCAACAGGCTCGATTTAGTACTGAGGCCGTGCTGTGGAAGCATGAGATCGCAGCTTTAACGAAGGTTAAGCTAGAACTGGAGAATGAAAGCGACCGCCTAAACAAGGTGGTAGATGACGAGAAAGTTCAGCAGGAGCTCGTGGAGACCAAGTACCGTTCATTAAAATCTGAGCATACTCGTATAAGCGAGGAACTGCAAATTCTCTCTAAAGAAAAGAAGCGATTCGAGCTCGTGCAGATTGAGATCCAGGAGCTTAAGTCTGAACTGGCAGATGATACGAAGAAACATGAAGTTCAACGCCAACAACTCGAGGCACAAAAATGCAAATTGCTGCTTGATAAGAAAGATGAAGCTGCCGAGTGGGAGCGTGAGCGACACGTTTCCTCTCGTCAGAATGAAAAGGAGAAAGCGAAACTCCTGCGCTTTGCACAGGAAGTCCGTGGCCTGCACCATCTTCTCCAATTGTCTGTGGTTGAGACCCGGAAGCTTTTTAACTTTGAAGTAAAAAAAGTAGAGGAAACATTGCAGAACATCCAGCAACAAGCCAGCGAGCTCGCTGTTCATCATAGTGACCGTGACATGGCCTTAATGTCACGAAATGGTCGTATTCTTCAACTGGAGTCTCAGCGCAAAAACGATCGGCAAACGATCAAGCAGCTAGAGGCTACACTGGTTAGATCCACACGAGTGCTCGAGAAGAAATACGATGTTCTGAAGGCAAAGTATGAGGAACAGAAAGAGCATCTGGAGATCACGTTGGCTGTTCGTCAAGGACTCACCACGGACTTACAGGCTAAGAGGAAGCAGGTCACAGAGCTGGAACGAGACGTGGCACGACTCACCCGTGCTAAGGGCAAGACTGACGTGACGCTGAAGCACTCACAGCAGCAGATTATAGCAATGCAAAAGGTTCACGCTCATGAGTTGGGGAAGCTGATAAAGAGATCGCCCGCCAGCAAGATCGAACATGTGACGTCGTCATATCACCCTCAAGAGGAATGTGTACATTCACGTGCTTTCTTCCTGACTGAAAACTGACGCTTTGTGCATGTGCAGAATGAGGTAAAAGCTCTGCAGGTACTGCAAGATAACCCGGAAAGACGAGGTTCGTAATCAAATCTATAAAAAATGAACTTCTATGGTTAAACCATGTAGCACAAAAAGTCTTAGTACCAGAAAACTAACCGTTTCGCGTGAACAGAATGGATAGAGTTCGTGGAGCTTGTAGCCGCCTACGAAGCTGAGCGCCATTTGCAGGAATAAAATAACTGTACTGTACACGATACCTACAGTACCTACCTACAATCGTGTGTTTCGCTATAATGACAAGTCCTTCGCAAGTTTAGTGACACCACGTAGTATATCGACGGCTGAAAGAGAAAAAAGCAGGTCAGTCGTAAAAAAACAACGTGGGATTTACAGCAGCGTCGCAGCTCATCTGGGCGAACTGAAGCGGTTTTTTGACGACAACCCCCTCGATCCGAGTCTTCAATGTAACATGGACGAAAGCCACTATGTGATCGACCTTGACGATGGGAAAACATTGGATTTTCGCGGGTCGAAGCACGTAAAGTACATGTGCCGCTTTTCCGGTTAGTTTTTGTTATTATTTTTATTGTATTACCTAAACTTACAATGAGTGTTATATTTAATTAAGGGAAGTGGTCAATTCGAGGCCGGTTTGCAGGTGCAATTTTCGGAAAGGCGGACTCGAGCCTCGAAAGTCATAAGTTTTGACAGTTCTGGAAACCTCCGGAATCCCTCTTTTTTTAAGGTGGTGATTGGCACATAATATGACAGTGTTGGCTGGAATTGTGGCGGAGGTTCAATTAAAAGCCGGAATTAGACTTGTCTTGAGTATACACCAGCATCAGGGGTAGGGCTACTAGAACGGTGCATATCGGTCGTACATAAGGCATTATCATAGGTTACTAGGTTTGAGAGGTGATGCCATTTTGGAAAGGACTGCATTTCCAGAAGCACGCAGACACAGACAGCGCTCGATATGTCGAGCGGGGCGCCCGTTCTGCTCGAGCCCCAGAGCTCCTCTGCCACCCGGAGAACCTCGTACGGCTGCTCATGCGTCATGGCTAGCGACTCCCACCTTTTGCTGAAGCCAAGACCTCCTGTGTGATGTGGAACTGCCCGGCAGGGTGGGGGTAACGCTGCCGGATTGACAGACGCACAGATTCAACCAATTTGATACGGCAATCTTTTAGTTCCACATACTTATGAGGTCGTACTGACAGTTGCTGTGTCTAAACTACTGTAGAAGCTACAATATCACTACCAGTGTCAACGCTTGGCGACATCGAGGTCGTCTTCTTGGAAGGCTTAGACCCTGAACTACTCGTGTTCGCGTATTTGCAACCTTTAGCTCCCGATCTGGCGGTGGACGCTTTAATTTCCTGTAAGCCCTCATGTGTCAAGAGACGTCCGCCGACGGAAACGCGCTTGCGCTTCTGGCCGCGGTCTTTGCTCGGTGGAGTTGGCATTGTGAGGATCTCGTCTTCGACAAGCGCCTTCATATGCAGACATGTGGCAAGCAGGACGTGGCGAGGCGCCCCATTTCGTGTGAAATTGCTAAAACGGGCGCCCATCTTAACTAAAGACAAGGGAGACAGTCCACAAGCTTTAAACCCTGCCTTAACATTTCGACCGATCCGAGCCCCTCGCTAGGCCATGCTAGCCACTTGAATCGCATCGTTTTTGCTAATGTTGTAGTATCCGTTCTCGTCTTCCTCCTCGAGCTCCCTAAGCAGAGTTTGTATCTTCCTCTTTAGTGTAGCGAATACGGCTACGTCTAATGATTTCCGCCCCCCGAAATCAGCATTACGTTCAGATGTTCTGCTGCAGCAATCACCCCTTCCGAGTAGTGATATCTGCATCCATCCTAAATCAGCACAAGTGGACGTGCAATGGAATCAGGCACTGCGCTTGCAAAGAACTTTAACCATCGCTCAAAAAGGGTGGTATTCATAAAGCCCGAGGCTGAAGTCGTGACCACAGCGCCTTTTGCATCGCAATTCTTATCAGTCCAGGTGAAACGTCTTTCCAGGCAAACAAAAGCCGGTGGTATTACAAAGCCAGCAGCACTTCCACACGCGACAATTGTGAGGTGAAAATTAGATGTAGGTTCTGTACTCCAACGTTACTCGATCCACGATCAGCGACTGCTTTCTTGCTCTTGAGTTGCTTCTAAAAAGCTGTTTCGTCCATATTAAAGACCCTCGAGCTGCCCGGTTTCAGCTCAATGATAAGCTTTGCCAGGGTGTTGGAAAGCGTAGTTAGGTCAGCATGAACAACAAAGCTACGCTTGATAGCAAGCGACTGGGCGGATCGCACGGTCAGCACTGGATAGCGCATTTTAAGCCCTTGTACAAACCGTGGCCCACACGTTCGCCGCAGCCCAGCAAGCCCACTTCCTGGGCCTTTCGTATGATCACGGCGCGCTCGACTGGGTGGCCAATGAGCTGTCGTCCTACCACCCAGTCGATGGTCTTCTGCTGCTTTCGGTAAAAGCGTTTTGGGCCCAGGCCGTCCGGCTTTCAGTGACTTGCCCTCCACTAGTTCATGTAGCCACTTTCGAATAATTCTTTTATGAACGCCAGTAACAGCGGCGACATCAACCACTGTACTGCCGGCTTGAACTTGAGCGATTGTTGCTCGTTTAAAGTTTACCGTGTAGGTAGGTGCCATTGAGCTGGTTTGGAAACGAAAGCTGCTTAGAGTAACGCTGTTTTCTGGCAGTGATCGCTCTCCCGCCAGCAGTTTGGATTTCGCGCCAAATCTGTATAAATTTCTGTGAGTTTCGTACTTAGTTATTTATCTACAAATGACATGCTGGAAATCGTAATACAGCGTATGCATTGGCTAATATCACACCGGCCTCGAATTGGAAGTTTCCCTTATGACATGACTGCCTGCCTGATATGAATGAATTCTGTGGCGAAGGACAATAATATGAGCTCGAGAAGGTGCAACAAGTTTCTCGAGAAGAGGAACATTTTAAACGTTTGAACAGCTTGAATGTTTGAACGTAGCAGTATTTTTAACAGTGCGCGCCTTGCCGCTCATCCATAATTTAATTCACTTTCAATTCTTCCAACTCAAGCTCAAGTCGACATACTCAAGCGACCCTCTGCCAACCAAGGCCGCTACAAAAGTCCAAGTCGACTCAAGCCCGATCCGCGTGTCCTCTGCTAGCCAAGGCGCGTCATTTTGATATATCCAATTTGGAACGGATCAATCCCTCAAGACCTTCCAAGATGGTGCGACAGTCTCAAGACAAGAACGACTACGTCACCTTCACTATCGCCACGAGCACAGCGACCGAGTGCGCTCCGGCCGACAACGCGAAGATCATCATCACCAAGTTCTACGGCGGCAATGCCAAGGACTGGCTGCGATGGAGCATGCGCTTTAAGAGTCTAGCCCAGCAGAAAGGCTGGAACGTCGAACAAGCCGCACTACAACTTCTCCTACTACTCCACGGTGAGATGAAGAACGATGTCGAAGATGCTGCGAGACAGGCGGCGCAGGAAGGATTCTCCTTTTCTTAATTCTACGAGAATATCGGCCAGCAACTAGTCCCTCTCGACTACAGCGAGACCCTCGACATAGAACTTTGGAGCCTAACCAAGCGCTCGAACGAGTCAGTACAGCAAGTCTACTGTGGTGTTGGAATTCCCACGTGAGCAAATGTAGTTAGGACGTTCCCACAACAATACGCCTGCTAGGATAGCAAACGATCGTTCGGGCGGACCTGAAGACCCCATTTCTGCCCTTGCACCGGGACAGACTGAACCTTGTAAACTACTTATATAGGCCAACCAGTAAAATAAGAACACGCTACTAGCACGAGCAAAGCTAATAGGTGCTATGAATCCTCGTGGTCCCAACAGCGGACGGGTACCAGGCACGGGTAAGCCTTTTACGAGGTCACCGAGTGTTCAACACTCGGTTGGAAGAATAAAAGGGATGCAATACAAGCAATCCCAGTCGTGCAAATAGGCAACAATAAGCCGTCACATAAACCCCCTTTAGTAATTGATCAAAATACAAAGTCTCTTCGCCTTGCCGGATGAACCCTCGCTACAGAGCTTCGAGTTCACCGACAGACATAACACCCTCAAACAAGCTTGACCCGACGCTTACCTTGAAGCCGGACGTCGCTCTGGGTGCTTGAGTGGAAATTCTGTTCTGTATTTATGTTTACCCTTTCGGGTCGATTCCTAATAAGAAGTCCTAATCAAGTATACAAACATTAAGTGAACAATGATCCGTTATGGATCTTCTTGCACGCCAAGCGTCGCCTGCATCGTCGCATGAGTATCTTTAACGGCTCGCGCCCTGTCCCAGACGGTGAACGTGCCTTCAATGGGTCACTGAGTCTTCCGCGAACTCACCCCAACTGCCACCGAGGGTTCGTACCGTAGATGGTCAGTTCCTGGACGCTGAATGCGAATCCGGCCATTCCATTATTAATAATAAGGACAGCCTGATTTCGGTGATTTCAGGACCGTATCCAGTTCCCATTGAGAGTTCGGTAGTGACGCCGTCGAGTTTCTTGCACCTTGGAGTCACTGTACATCACGTGACCAAGGGTTCGTCGCTGGAAATTCTTGGGCGGCGCCGCGTCTTTGTCGACGGGCGATTATCCGCAGCTCTGGAGAAATCGCTACACCACAACTGCCCCTGTCGCAATGAAAGCCACGGTACTGGTGCCCGTTGTGACATTGTTTCATTCTCCAATTCACCATTCAGTCACTGGATGCCCAAGCGTCTCAATCGTGCCGTAAATAACGATCTACAGCGTCTTAATCCTCGCCGATGGCGTGAACGTGAACAGCTGGAGGTAAGTCAGCTCACCTTCCTCTTGATCATCGGCACCTTGTTCATCACCATTCATTACTCGTCTCGTTTCTCAGGAGGGCGACACCGAGGTTTCGAACGAACCTCAGCCGGCAACACTTTCTTCGACGGCAACGTCGTCAGCTGGACCTCCGGCGCTTCCTGCCCCGGACTCTTCATCTCCT